AGGGATTTTATAAGGAGGAGACAAAATGAGATTGGTGAAGTGTTGGTTTTGCTCTTCCACAATATATCCGGGACATGGTATTCAGTTTGTCCGCAACGATGCAAAGGTAATTAAATACTGTATGGCTTAAATCTTGAATTGACGAGACATATATAGTCTGCTTGAGAATCACTATAGTTTGTATGTTTTTATAAAGTTTTAGCTGAAATTACCAATTGTGATGTGTATCTTTAGTTGGAATTCGTCTATTTGCTCTGGAGAACTCAATGTCTATTCTTACGATATCGTATTCGCACAGCCTATGTTTTGAGGATATAATCTAGCATCCCAATGTTTTCTATGTTATCGGTTTACTCGAGCACTCTCTTTAGCTTTGTTTCTTTTGAATAGTATGTGAATTCTCCTCCTTGCTCGTATCATAGGATGGCTCTCTAGCTTAAATTACCAATTTCGGCCTCTCATTTGTTGGAATTGCTCTTGATAAATCAGTGTCTATTCTTACGGTTTGACTGGTGTTTGGAATATGATATGGCATCCTTGGTTAGGAGTTTAGTATACAAGAGTTCTACAAGTATATTTTATTTGCATTGCATATGTTTTGAAGATACAATCAAGCATTCCAATGGTATCGGTTTCAAGCTGACGAGCATTCTCTTTAGCTTTGTCTCTAATGCATATTGCGATTTAGCTTACTATCATCAAACTATCTTCTTCTTTTGCAGATTTTCCGGTTCTGTAGGTCTAAATGCCACAAGAATTTTAAGATGAAGAGGAACCCACGCAAAGTAAAATGGACTAAATCATTCAGAGCAGCACATGGAAAGGACATGACTCAGGTTGTATATTAATTTGATCAAAAGTATTTCTCTTGTTTCCTTGGGGTTGTTTGGATAATGCCTCACCATTACCCTTGTCTTTCTCTGTTTCCTTTCCCCCAAAAGGATAAAACATTTGAGTTTGAGAAGAAGAGAAACAGACCCGAGAGATACGACAGGAATGTAACAGAGGATACACTCATGGCCATTAAGAAGATTGATAAGATCAGAACCAGAAGAGAAGCGGAACATATCAATAAGAGGTATATAGAAAATTTCTCTTCCCTCTTCTTCTAATAATCTCAATACAAATCCTTGAAAACACTGCTTGCA